ACAAGAATAATAATAATAGGATCTGATTTTATTCGATCTGATCTGATAAGATTTTATCTGTTTTTAATAAGAATAAGTAAGCAGAAAAAATAAATTGAATGAAACATTGTCTCAAGGAGCTATTCAAGTGCGATGTATACATTTTACATGCTTAAATCAAGAAATGAATTTCACTCGCACTTTTTTTATTGTCTCAAAATAAATTTAACACCATTTTTTTCTTATTTAAGAATAAAATACGTGTCACAAAACCTTTTTCTCTTATGTAATACTCCGTAATATGTTAACCATTAATTCACTCTTTTTAATTTTAAATACTTTTTTAATTCATAAAATTAAACATTATAAACACTAGAATTTATTTTAAAAGCAATAGCGTATGTATCAAGTCTAGTTTATGATTTCAAATAATTTCAAATTTTGTTTGACTAAGGGTCCGTTTGGTACACAGAATTGACAGAATTGGAATTGAATTGGAGTTAAAATTTTGTGGAATTGATTTGGATGGAATGGAATTCTCTAATTTCAATTCATTCTTAAGACTACCTATTCCAAATCCACATATTTTTGTGCTACCAAACAGTAGAACTGGAATTGTAGTCTTCAATTCCAGTCGCGTACTAAACGGGGCCTAAGTATCTCATCCCCTTGCTCGCTAATCAACAAAGGAAATACTCCGTAGTAGGGAGTAATTCTTAAAAGATAAAGGGGTATAGAAGCAGTACTTGGGTATGCTACTGCCGAGTCCCATGCCTTCAAAAAATTAAACTAGTTAAAACTGAGGGTAACCAACAAACACTTTATTGCTTTGGGATTTTTAATTTAGATGCACCCAATGAGATTCCAATGATCATCTAGTGGACCATTATTCCCAGTCCCAAAAAGTACATTTAGACACAAATTAAATCAACTTTAATAATTCATCAAAAAGAATTAAATCAACTTTATAATAATTATTGGATTAAATTGCAAAGGACATTGTTGTCCGTATTATTTTGTATGTCAAATTTAATTTTGACTTCTCATAAAAAGAAAGTGTCTATGTTTTTCAATTAAAAAAGTTAATAATTAGAATAAACACCAAAGTAGGACTAAAAACATTAAAAATATATCAAAATAGGACTTCCATGCATGTTTTTATTCCCGAAATAGGACTTACATTACCAAACATAGTCATATATATTACCAAAAAAATATAGTAATGTGCACATGTAAACTGCCACATTACCATTAAGTCATATTTCGAGAAAAAAACATGAAAATCCTATTTTAATACTATTATCTATGTCGTAGACCTATTTAGGGTGATTTCTATAATAATTAACCAAGCTATGACACGGTTTCGAATAAGCTCGTTGGTTTCATGTTGAAACACGGGTTTATCGTGTTTTCGTACTAAAGCCATGTTTGTTTTTATGACAGGTTTTGATAATGCCAAACCGCCGTGAACGAGACAAGTTGTTGAATATACAAGGCGAGAAATAGATATAAGAAGAAAGCAAGAGAACCAGAGCTAAAAGAGACCAAGAACGAAGACTGTAGTCTTTAGCGTCGTTGAGTCGGTCACAATGTGATCAAGACCGACCCAAGCTTTGCACTTTGGCTCTTTAGGCTAAAACATTTTTTATTGCATTTTACATATCATCAAAATTATTTTCAAACATGCTTAAACATATTAAAAACACTTGGTGTTCGCCCAAACAAAAAACCAAGCCATCCGGGGTTCGGCTTTCGGAAACCGGCATTCGGCATTCGGTTATCGGCGTTGGTTTTTGGCATCCGAATCAACCAAGTGGTTTTCAACTTTTTATGATTGTTTTTTACTTCTGGGCACATTTAAATAGTTTTCCATCAAAAACACTTCAAAAACCACCTTTCGTTTTTTGTCATTTGATAAAAACCATGCAAAACGACAAAAACGTGGCTAGCCGTGGTTTTTACTTAAATGAAGTGGTTTTCGAGTCTTTTTGTGTGGGAATTGTTTTTCAATGCATTTAAATGGTTATCCAATCAAAACATCATGAAAACCACCTTTCGGTTTTGTCTTTTGGTAAAAACCACCCGTGTACGGCATTGACTTGGTCAATCGTGGTTTTTACCTTAACGACGTGGTTTTCAACATACAAAGCTTGTTTTGACATCACAATACATTAACTCAGTGTTTTATATACTTAGTTTTTACTTTGGAGAACTTTGCATTTTTCAGTCGGGTTTCAGCGCCGGTCGGCTAGGCCATGGTTCTAGGCTAGCCATCTACCCAGCGATGGTAGATATCACCCATCCATGGGTAAGTGATCTTGGGATTCCAGAATCATGCCACCCAGCGATGGGTAAGCAGCCTTCAGCCCAACTGATTTCCAGAACCATGCCAAACAGCGATGGGAAGTTCTACCCATCGCTGTTCAAGTCTTGGTCCAACATTATCACAAGGCAGAATGCCCTTACCCAGCGATGGGAACCTTTACCCATCGATGGGAACCCAGCGATGGAAGGGCATACCCATCAATGGGAAGGCATGACCGTTGGAAGTCATTTAAGGTTGATTCTTTC